AAAATTACCTTAGTTTAAGCAAATACTAGTTCTCATTCATTCCACCCAATGTCTTGACAGCCTCACGGAAATGGCACACGTCCGGCATACGTGATGATGTGGGTTTGACTCCCGCCAATGACAGGTTTTTTTTTTAATCTACAAATAATTGGTTTCACATTTGGGGTCCGGGAATGGCCTTAATAATTCGAAGGGGGATTTTTGAGATTTGTTTCTGAATTTTAAAATTTATTTAAAAAATTAAATGTTCAATTAATGTTATGTTGTTATTTAGGAAAAGCATTTCATATATCTGACATATTTGACAATACTTGGTAACGGCTTAATACAGTAGATGAGATTTTTGCGTCTTTATTGCCTTATGCCTCGAGCTGGTTCTCCTTCCAAATATTGTAATAAAAAACAACAAATACAGATAATAAAATAATTGTTACAATAGACACTATTTTACGAATAAACTTTTTTAAATAATTGAATACCAGTTCAGCATTTTCAAATAAATAATATAAATGCCTCATTTTACAAATCTTAGCACAAATCAAAAGCACATTGATAAAATTCAAAATATTCTCTTTAAGGAAACAATTTGTATCACATTTACAAATGATCTATAGTAAATGGACTGAGTTGGAATATATCTCTCCAAAACTTTATTCTTTCTGGTTCCGGATTAGTTTGCAACGAAAGTTCTTCACCAATATCCAAATAGTATACATCATTTTCAGTAACTGGCTTCCACGTAATATTTAAGTCACTTTCTTGTGGAGTTGGGTTACCAGTTTTAGCGAAGTTGGTCCACAACTTAACAAAACGTCTTAGAACTTTGTCTTCTAGAGGCCCTTTGTGTAAAACTTTGGCTGCTAGAGGCATATGGAAGAGGTAACCAAGGTCATCAGCATGACAGACTCCTGCAAGAAATGAAAAACAAATGTTACTAATTACTAATGTTTGACTAAAAATAATAAATATCTGAGAAATGCCCTTTTAGATAGTTGATCAGATCATAACTTATAATTCATTTATTTATTTTTTCATAAAAAGATGACAAATCAAGAAAGTACAACCAGCAGAATAGATGAGAAGCAGTTTCAATGGTTCGATTGATAAGTAAGGATAAATCTAGGAAGTTTGACTATTAAGACATAAATGAAAATTAAACAAAATGAAAAGACAAGCAAAAGAATACAAAAAGTATATTGAAACAGAAAGGAGCGAATAACAACTTACAGCAGAGGTACATGAAGAAGAAAATAATAAAAAAGAAAAGCAAAGAAGTTATGATGATAAGAAAAAAGATCTTACTTTCCAAGTGCCGCTTTGTACTGTGTATTACTGTATATTACCTATCCAATACATATATTTAAAAAAGATTTTTGGTGAAAGATACATTTATGGTAAAAGTAGTTATTTATGTAAAGCTAAAAGTGATACTTTGCTTCTTGAGACAGAAAGTTGTCCGCGCGACGCGTAGCGGAGCGCGGCAATTTGTCGAAAGATTTTTTCTACGATCACACTTTTTTAAGAAATAGATATAAAAACTAAAAATGTACGTAAGTAGTGTATAATGTGTTGTATATACATACGTTAATCATGAAAAAAGCAGTTGATATTCAAATTTCATGTTAACTTGGATAATATAACACAAAAACATGTAACTACATACTTGAACATTATTTATTAAAAAGAGATATTATTGTATTATAGCTAATTTAAATTAAGAGAGCAACAAAGCCAGAGGCGCCGAATCCCCAGGGTGCGCAAGCACCCAGAGTAATTTTAAACTGAGCGCCGAGCACCCCTGGCACATCGCGGACAAAAAGTGCCAATACTGCCAATAAGTGAAATAAAGAATCTGTTCTGGCCCAAGTTGGAAGAACGACAGGATACCTCGATGCAGCAACCGTTTTTTATTGGCTGTTAGATTTGTGAGCTATGACGTTGCATGTTGCGATAATCCTAATGCTAATGCAAAATATAAAAGATTTCTTCTTAAGATCCAACTCAAGTTTTTTCTTAGGTTAGAAAACGATTTTTCATTTGAAGTAATATAAGATGTCACTTTAAATTTCTATCTCTTAATATTAACAAATACGTAACACAATGAGTTTAATGAATCATATGTCTCGAATAAGCACGGTTGCAAATTGGCGTACATTTCCAAATGATAACACAAGTTTTCTAAAATAAGAGAGTTTATTTTGCGTTTTAGCTTTTAAATACTATCAAATATGGTGGAAAGTCCATAACTTTTAAATATTTGTTAAATCACTTATTAAAATATGATGCACTAAAAGTAAAACAAATTATAGACTTTCTACGATTCTTTACCATACCCCATTTTTAAAAAGAATTTCTGAAAATATTATCGTTCGGAGTTGTATTTTTTGTAATAAAAAAAAATCGCCGTCACTTGTCATTAACAACACGTTGAACTTGGTCTTAAGGGTTTATTATTCTTGGTGTATAAAACCCTTTCACTATCAATAACGGTCTACAGTTATCAAGACAAGAGATCTGTACATATGCTATCGAGCATATGCTTGAGGGGAGAAAAGAGAACATTTGGAAGCTGCTCCAGATCATCAAGCACCGTTAAAAAATTAAGTTCATTTAGAGTCAGAAACAGCTCTCTAGTAGTGCTCGCGAGTAACCCAAGTCATTTACTAAAGAAACGCTTGTACCAGTTAATTTTTGATTTTTGGGGGGAAACATTTTTTTGCCACTTTCACTTCCTGAACGGAAACCCTCTAGCGGGGGTTAGTTTCACCTCCAAAATCTTAAATAGAAAGAAAGGTCTAATATTTTATTTTAAAGGTATATTTACCTAGATTATAACACCCCGAGTTTTTCATCGCTACGATCTACGTAGTCCATACAGTGGCTCACCAAAAGTACAAAACCGTTTTAACATAATTTTTACATTGTTATTAAAAAAAAAAAAGAAAATGTATGCAACAATTCTATTTGTATTTCACGTGGCCTTCAATTATTGTTATCAGATGACATTCTATGGTTGCAGTAAAGCTCCCTGAGCAGTAAAGTAGTAAGGTGTAGTTTATTTCGTTGTAGAGTCGGCATAAAAGTGACGTATCTGTGATAATGGTATACCCAATTGCCGAGAGGGTGCAAATCATTTCACTTTTTTGGGAACAATAAATGACTAATAGAACTGCTCAACTGTTTAACAATCAACATCGAAAGTATATTTTGGAGTTAGTCCAAAAATTTTAAGAAACGGGGTCAGTAGCTAACAAAAAACGTGAAATGGAAAATGTAGTAAATAAAACTACAGAGGTGGCGATTTTAAGACATGTTACTTAAGAACCCACATTGAGTACAAGAGAGTTAACGATAACATCTGGTATTAAGAGAAGTAGCATTCAGAAGATATTGAAATAACATGAGTTTCATCCCTGTAAAATACACCTGTTAGATGAACTTAATTTCTTTTCAACGTGTATTTTTCTACCGAATGCACTTTTTTCCTAAATGGTACGGAAAATCGTTACAACTGTCGTTATTGGTCCGATTTAAATCCCAGAATATTTCATAAAGTGCATACGCGATAAAACTGAATGTTTGGGTTGGCATTTTTGGTAACCGTATAATTAGTCCCTTTTTTTATCTGGTACTTTAACCGCAGAAATGTATCTGGAATTTTTAGGAAACGCCATTTTTCGAGCATTGATCCAGCATTACTAGAGTTAATTGAGAATGACGATCAGTACATAGCAAACAACTAAATATTCCAGCAAGGTGGTGAGCCACCCCATTTTGTACTGACTGCTCGTCAGTATTTGGATCAAACGTTTTCAGGTCAATGAATCGGAAGAAGAGTGGCTACCACGGTCTCCAAATCTAAAACCGTTAGATTTTTTATAGGGTCACTGTTAAAAATTACCTTTAGCATAAGTATCAAAAATGATTCAGGCCGCCCCTGTTAAATTTACTTAAGAATTAATTTAGGACAAGGTTTGCAAATCCAACAAAATAAAAATAACTAACGCGGTTAGTATCCAATAGAAATGCACGAATTCAAATTTAATAATGATTAGGCAAAAGAAAGACAGTTGTTAATATGATAATTGATGAATTTCATCAAATCACCCCACAGATGCTTCAAAATCTCTAAGAGCGTTTTGAACAAAACCTCTATTATTGCATGGTTCAGCATTTCCAACACTTACTCGAGTAACTGGTAAGAACTTAAAGAAAATAAAAATCGTTAAAAGTACAGTAGCGATTTAAAACTTAGGGGTTATATTCTAGGTTAAAATACCTTCAAAATAAGATATCATTCGACCCCTCTTTCCATTTAAGATTATAGGGGTAAGTTTCGCCCCTCACTAAAGGGTTTCCATTAAGTAACTGGCAAAAAATATTTTCCCCTAAAATCAAAAATTTACAGATCCTAGCGATTTTTCGTAAATGACGTGGGATGCCCAAAATTGGCTGTTTTATTTTCAAATGGCCACCCTGTATATATACAATACTCTATTATATGTGTATTAATAAATCATCAGAAATCTCCTTCTAAATTCATGATAATTAATAAATATTTTATATTGTATTTCTACTTATTTCATTGGTATTCTAGCACCACAGCACCACTGAATATCAGTGGTAGCTTATAGGGTTGCCAGATATCCCGATTTAGGCCTACTAATTGTTGATACTCCCGTCTGCCGCTTCAATCCTCAAAACTATAGCTATTCGACATTTGACAATACCTTTTTTCCAAGAACATTTTCATAAAATCAACGCTCTAAAATGGCTTTTAAAAAACCGGTGGCGAATCTAAGTGTGGTGTGGAGGGGGAAGCCTCCATTTCCTGCATAGAGGCCGGGCATTCAAAGAAATTTTTGAGTTCCGGCGCCTATGAACAAAGCAGTTAACTTTGTTGCACGGCGAGTGACATAGCTGTTAATGTCAGTTCGCGGAAAAAGTCAATTTTGCAAAAGCCTACTTTGGATAGTGATAGTAGAAAAATATTTTAACTTACCTGGCTCATTTATATTTGTAATTTTCTTAAATACATTTAATCCTGCGTCAATTGTCATTCTGTATAAATATACTGGATTTGTGGATGTCTTGGTATGTTTTATAGCAGATCCCACAATTCCCGCAATTAAGAAGAAATCGGTCAACAACTAAAAAATAAAATATCAATTAAAGTGAAGTAAGGTAGCAACATATCAGCACTTTGATGTAAATAAAACTAAAATAAACATTAAATCCAATTTTTTCTTTAAAAAAGAACTTGTATGGAGAAATGGTACTCGGCAAAAATTTTATTTTTTTTTATATTGTAGCACTAGACCTCTGAGTCCACAAACTAAAACTGTACTCTCGAAATACAAGCTGCAGTAGCGTAAACAGTCGTGCGCTACTAATATTGTCAGGCGAATCCGTCTCTGTTCTTTGTTTACTACCTTGCCAGCGGTGTGAAGTATTAAGGCGGGTACAGATCTGAGCACGTAAGCGAATGAGGCAAGCCGAGGCCGAACCTAATGCCTCGTGCGACGCATATTGTATACACGAATGGTGGACGCACGAAGCGCTGTTCGTCACTGATCCAGTAAATTCGCGAGCACGCAACCGTATACCTAGAACATAAAAAGGGAGGGAAAGGAATCGATGGCCGATTTCCTGCCAAGGATATACTTTTTGTATGGTGTTGTAATAGAACTAGCGTTTTGCTCTCTTAAGATATCACGCTGATTATTTAAATCCAGGAGAAGCAAAACATTATCCTGGTTCTACTTCATGCAAAATAAATCTTAAAAACTCGCTTTAATCTCTATAATAAAAATACTTTATCCAGACTGATCACGTACTGCGCATTGACTCCCTTTGATGTACCGCCCGCCAACAAAGAGATCATGGCGAGGCCGTACGGCGCACACAACGAGGCAATTTGACGCGCCTCGAAAGCCCGTCTACATCTACATGCTCATGCGTAATCGGCTTGCCTCATACGCGTACGTGCCTAGATCTGTACCCGCCTTAACGCACTGCTTTGAGAAGCTATCGGATAGATCGCTGTGAGTCATAGAGAGGGAGTATTCTCATGCAGAGCTGGCTTTATATAAATAGCGCGAGTTTGTTTCAAAGTTCTTGGGAACCATAGAAGTAGATACTGGTTTTGCATTTCGCATATTATATTTTTCCAGTACTTATGGACTTCACATAACATTCTTGTTTCAATAAAACTTTTTCCGGTTGTTTCTTAATTTATATTTCTAAAAATTAGTGTGGATTTTCGAACATTTTCATCTAGAATTAAGTTTTTAAATTTCTTAGCAGATTTTCCAAAAATGTTTTTTGATTTTTCGATTATTTTTAGATTATTTTTCGATTTTTCGATTTTTTGATTTTTCGATTTTTCGATTTTTCGATTTTTTGATTTTTCGATTTTTCGATTTTTCGATTTTTCGATTTTTGGATTTTTGGATTTTTGGATTTTTGGATTTTTGGATTTTTCGATTTTTTCGATTTTTCGATTTTTTGATTTTTCGATTTTTCGATTTTTCGATTTTTCGATTTTTCGATTTTTCGATTTTTCGATTTTTCGGTTTTTCGATTTTTCGATTTTTCGATTTTTCGATTTTTCGATTTTTCGATTTTTCGATTTTTCGATTTTTCGATTTTTCGATTTTTCGATTTTTCGATTTTTCGATTTTTCGATTTTTCGATTTTTCGATTTTTCGATTTTTCGATTTTTCGATTTTTCGATTTTTCGATTTTTCGATTTTTCGATTTTTCGATTTTTCGATTTTTCGATTTTTCGATTTTTCGATTTTTCGATTTTTCGATTTTTCGATTTTTCGATTTTTCGATTTTTCGATTTTTCGATTTTTCGATTTTTCGATTTTTCGATTTTTCGATTTTTCGATTTTTCGATTTTTCGATTTTTCGATTTTTCGATTTTTCGATTTTTCGATTTTTCGATTTTTCGATTTTTCGATTTTTCGATTTTTCGATTTTTCGATTTTTCGATTTTTCGATTTTTCGATTTTTCGATTTTTCGATTTTTCGATTTTTCGATTTTTCGATTTTTCGATTTTTCGATTTTTCGATTTTTCGATTTTTCGATTTTTCGATTTTTCGATTTTTCGATTTTTCGATTTTTCGATTTTTCGATTTTTCGATTTTTCGATTTTTCGATTTTTCGATTTTTCGATTTTTTGATTTTTCGATTTTTGCATTTATATTCCTTCATAGTTCTTTCTTTAACTATCCAATAATAATATCCATAGATATTTCATGTAATTTCTAAAATATTATCCTTAATATTCATGAAATTTCTGTAAGTAGCATATAATTTTCTCACACTTCGTCAGTATTTTTAAATTCGCGCCTATACAAACTCTAGGCGTGACGTCATGCGCGAGGCCGTCCTATTTTTGACACTGTTGATATCCTACCTTTTATTTTTTATACCATGGTAACTAATGTATTATTTATGCGGAACGTCAATATGACGTTTACCAAAGAAAATTCGAAAAATGGACAAAATCGTTTTGGTTATTGATATCATTATATTGAAACAAAGTAAATGTTGTTTATAAAAGTTCTGTTTATATTGTTAAATATTTCCAAACACCACGGTAAGTGAGAATTTTTTATAATTATGCATATTTTACTCGACAAAATCCTCCTAAAATACCACTCGACTGACGGCTAGTGGTAATTTAAGAAGGAGTTTATATTTCATTTATTTAGACGCATGGTTTTCAAAGAAACAACAAAATGTTCTCAAAAAATTCTTACCCTTAAAAATGTAGCAATGACATTTATAAGACGATAAAAGACCTCTATTGGGTCACTCGTTTTGACTATTTTAGATTATAATACAATGTGGACTTCAACATTAGAAATTGAAAGTTTAACAAAGTACCTACTTCATAGAAGATTTACCCCTCTTCACCTCTTTTTAAACAAAAGTGACAATATTTAGTACTCACCATAACTTTGTCTTTAGCATTTTCTCCTTGAAAATAAAAATCGGCATATTTTTTAGCAATTAGTTGCCTTTTTGCATCATCTTTCTCTAAATTTAGATGCGGATGAACAAGCGATTCCAAATCAATATCTTTCTCCGGTTCAATTCCTGCAGCTTTCTGTAAATTCTTGTGGGCCTCAAATAGAAGTCCTTCTCTTTGAGTAAAACCTAACATTATTGGAACTTTATTGTATTGACCCGAGGATATAAGTTGAGTAGCCGGAGCAGTAATAATTGCTGTTTTGTTGAGATATTCAATATTCGGTGCCGCTACACCCCATACACCTTTGACCTAAAAAAAAAAAAATATAGAAAAAAGTTAATCACAAAAAACTTTAAGGTAATGAAAATCTTTTCAATATATTAAGTACTTACCTTAATATATTTCTCCTGAAATGTATACAACTCATTTATAGGCAAACTTCTTAAAAGCTGTAAAGCTTCCTTCTCAGTTTTAACATCCTCTTTTATACTCTGAGCAAATTCAAGAGCCACATCGTTGGAATAAGGCCAAGGATTGTGTAAAGTCCCGCTCTGCATTATAGCCTTGTGGAAAAGGCCTTTAGAGGAAGGTGAAACGACATGGTAGTGCACACTTGCGCTACCTGCGCTTTCTCCGAAGATGGTAACATTATTCGGATCACCATTAAAATATTGAATATTTTTCTGAACCCACTGAAGTGCTAATCGTTGATCCTTTAATCCAGCATTTCCGGGAACGTCTAGCGTGGTGTCGTTTAGATGAAGGAAACCTAAGAAGCCTACCCGGTAGTTGATAACTACTAGTACGATGTCTTCTAATAAGAGATGCTCAGGACCATATAGGTTAGGATCATTGCTGCCATGTAGAAAGGCTCCTCCATGAATAAACACCATCACCGGTTTTAGTATTTGTTTTTCAGGAGTACACTACAAAAGTTCATCTTAATGTTAATCTGTTAAAAATTTATAATAGCCTCATTGTAAAAAGAGCTTGAATAAAATACAATAGGAATTAAAATAAAATATCTAAAGAAAATAGCGAAATTTTTGAAGTGGGAAAGGGGTATAAATAAGAATATAATTCATAGGTCAAGTGATGCTGCTTTTGACCAATCGAATTATCTGAGTTTTGTTATTATTAACTGACAATAGTTGTAGTAGTACATAAATTACCATGACTCTGAAACAAACTTTTTTCGGTACACATCATTATCTGTCAATTACAACATTTATGATTGTCATCATACTCATTATATTTTTCTTTGTAAATATAATTTCGTAATAAGTTAATAAGCTTAAATATGACAATCATTTTTGTTAGAAATCAACATATTTCATATAAATCATTAGGCTATCCCAGACATCTAAGTTCCAAACCAACCAATCGAACAAATAACACTTTAACAATAATTAATTAATTCATTAACTAATTCTAATTTAACAAATAATTCAATAAAGTTATAAAAAAATACGAGAATAATAAATTCAATATAATCTCACAATTATATCCTATTTGTAAATCATTTAAATGTGTGCAAATAATAATTAGTTAGTTATAACTAATATCATTTGATCATTTTATTATTGATTATAGAAATCATGGGTTAAGAAGCTCCAAAAATCCCAATACATTTAAATTTGCCGTCAAAAACTTCAGAATTGTAGACATTTAGAGACCGTACGGGTTCCCGTGAACTATGGACAGACTAGAGAGTGCCACTACTGTTAGATCGTTGGTTTGCCTGTGGTATTCGGAGTCGATGACGTTAGGTGACACATCACCAACTTTGGAAAATTTTAAAGAGAAAGCCCACTAACGCGATACGTCGCGCGCGTCTTGCCGGTAGACATCGCTCGCGGTAAGAGTGCAGATGTAGAACAGAAGTAAAAGTTGGAAAGGCTTTTGCCAGTTCTCCCACTTTATACACATAAATTGACAGGTTGGCAGCGGATCTCACCGAAGTGGACGCGATACATTGGCGTGCAATATTATTTTATAGATGTTATTAACAATTTCGAGTAAATAGTTTAATAAATTGTGAATAGCTGTTGAAATTTTGTAAAATTATAATTTGAATATTATAATACATGTTTAATAATTATTTATAATCCATAAATACCTACATGCGATTGTCCGGTTCCGCCGATAACAATTTAAAATTACTTATTCTATGAAACGACACTGGCAGGTAAACATTACTGTGAAATTCTCGGAGCCGCCCGACGTGGTTTGACGATTATCCCCTCTCTACCTACCAAAATACTTTTCAACTTTTACTTTCTCTATATTTAATTGACCCAAAGTCCATTATCGCGGTTCTGTCGCGTAGTCGCACACAGCTTTAAAAGAGGAACGCCAAACCCGCGATTATCTTGCCGCACGCGGCCAGTGGTACTATCACATACATTGATTACTATACAAGGCAAGAGAGAGGTCCAACACGCCCAACATAGGGCGTGGCCATTTTGAACCTTGTGACACAGTTTACAGCTAAAGAATCAGATCGTTAACTCTGCGTCGGCATTTTTGATCTTAATGTTTCAGTTTATACACTGTGCAACTCGGATAATACAATATATGACAACCGCCTATAATAAAACAGCAGTCTTCTGCGTATCCTGAATTTGTATCCCTGGAGTGGATGTTATTTTGGAACTTTCAACTGGTCCGAGTGAGCTAACTGATTCTTTAGCAATAAACTGTGACTTCAAAAATAATATTCACTGACACTGATAGCAGCCTTAGATAATATAATTGCAGATAGGCCACCACTGCATAAAGTTATACAATATTAATCTCGGTATCATATAATCAGTATCTCTCTTTCTAATGAAGGCTTTCTCACTCGTTTTAGAATTCTCAGCAGTAGCGTAGCGTAAAACAATTTCGCTGTCATTTTAAATGCGAAAATGTTGACCAAATAGAATATAAAATAAAATGTTTTAAAAGGTAGGTAGGTAGGTGCATTTTTAATGAAGTGAAAACAAAATATGACTTTTTTGTTATGAATATAATATTAATAACAATTACTTTTAACACCACAACACGAACAAATTTAAATTAAACACTGGAATAATTGTCTGAGAAAAGCTTTGTAAAACTGACAAATACAAACAAAGAGATAGAGATATTAATCTATTTCTCTCTAATTAGAATTCTTGACCATATTATCATGGCGACACAACATTGTTTACTGTCCTCTCTTTACTACTTACTTACTCTGAGACAGCAGCAAGCAAAATATCAGGTGCGTTTTAATCATCTGCTTCTGCTTCCGGAATTGTCGGTTTAGTCGTTTTAACCTGTCAGATTAAAACAAGAAAACCAACAATTTCGAAGCAGAAGCGGATGATTAAAACGCACCTATTAAAAATATTGCGTCAAGATGTAGGCAACACATAATAAGGGTTGAAAATGGCGGAATTTTCTATCTCCTTTTAAAAGGCACTCAGAAAGCTGCGCAGTACGACCATTCTTCGTATAGTAAAAGAAAATCAAAGTATGTGGGTACTAAGGATATTGGAGCATCACTCATTACAGACGTTCAGTCATGTGCGGCGCGTCGATATAGTTGGAGTGTTCCTGTTGGTTGTCCTACAGTTCCATAGTTTCAAAATGACTTCCAACCACATACTTTGATTACTATACGAGGCAAGAGAGAGGTCCGATCACATACTTTGATTACTATACGAGGCAAGAGAGAGGTCCGACACGCCCAACATAGGGCGCGGCCATTTTGAACCCTGTGACACAGTTTACGGCTAAAGAATCAGATCGTTCACTCTGCGTCGGCACTTTTGATCTCAATGTTTCAGTTTATACACTGTGCAACTCGGATAATACAATATATGACAACCGCCTACAATAAAACAGCAGTCTTCTGCGTATCCTAAATTTGTATCCCTGGAGTGGATGTTATTTTGGAACTTTCAGCTGGTCCGAGTGAGGTAACTGATTCTTTAGCAATAAACTGTTACTTCATAAATAATATTCACTGACACTGACAGCAGCAAGCAAAATATCAGGTGCGTTTTAATCATCCACTTCTGCTTCTGGAATTGTCGGTTTAGTCGTTTTAACCTGTCAGATTAAAACAAGAAAACCGACAATTCCGAAGCAGAAGCGGATGATTAAAACGCACCTATTATAAATATTGCGCCAAGATGTAGGCAACACGTAATAAGGGTTCAAAATGGCGGAGTTTTTTAACTTCTTTTAACAGGCACTCAGAAAGCTGCGCAGTGCGACCATTCTCCGTATAGTAAAAGAAAATCAAAGTATGTGCCTCCAACGATGTCAATGATTTAGATTCATTTATATACAGGGTGTTAGATTATACTTTAGAAGAAACATTAACGTAGTATGTTAAGTTTTTAACATTTTTGGTCGTTTGTTTATCAACAATTATGAACGTCTGTTGAGTAGTCAGTCCTATACTTGTCAACTTTGTTTTTGTTTGTGATATATTTTAATTTTCAATATGCTTGTGCTGTTTTCGAATAAAGAATATGCTGACATAGGATGAGATTGCAGAACGTCTGCAACCTTGCAGATCTGCAAATATGGCGGACTTACAAATGCAAGTATTCCAAAAAATATCTGGAAATTCGCAATATTTATTGTGGTTAATTACCCCCAACAACACTAAACCCAAATTTAGAATACTTGCATGTGTAAATCAGTCATATTTGCAGATTTTCAAAGTTTTTGCCATATTTACAGATCTGCAAAGTTGCAGACGTTCTGTAATTTTACCCATAGTGTATATTTATGAATTTTGTGATGAAAATTCGCGAAAGTGCCGACAAGTTCTGATTCACCAAATGTTCAGTGGTGTATTTCGATATATTTGAACACATGGCACACTGCGTTAATTTATCTTCTGATCTAGGAACACTTCTAGCTCGGTAACCATGGAGAATTAGATACTTATTCATAGGACATCTTTTGCTTGAAACGAACTTAGGAATATGCGTAATTTAACTGAACGTTCTATAAATAAAGGATGAATCCAATACCTATGTTACACTTTTTTTCCGATAACGAACATATTAAACAACACCGTTACTTCTGCCATCTTTATTTTGTAATTGAACGTCTGTGTCTGTGCTTGTCGTCTGTTTCACATTTAAAAAACCGCATGCGGTAGGTCACGTGCGACATGTGGCGTGAGTGGGTTTTCTTCCTTAAATGATATAAAACCTATAGAAGCAGCTCACAGAGAAAGGAGCTAAAGCAGAGACAGAAGTTGGAAAGTCCTTGCCAGTTTTCCCACTTCATGTACAGGATTTTACAGTTTCGACGCGAAGCCAACCGAAGTGAACTCAAAACAGTGTCGTAGAAAATTATTTTATAGGTGCTAATAAAAATTTTACATAAACAGTTTAATAAATTGTGAATAACTCTTGAAATTTTGTAGAAATATGATTTGGGATATTATAATTTGAATAAATAATTATCTGCAGCCCATAAATAGATACGTTTGCCCTATTCTGCCAGTAATAATTTAAAATATCTGCTATTATTTTTTTTTATATGAGGCGGCTATAGCGAACAAACATTACTGTAAAATTCTCAAAGTCGTCCGACGGGGTTTGACAGTTATCACCTCTCTACCTACCAAAAGCCTTTCCAACTTCTGTTCCTGCTATACTAAGGGTAACGGGTACTTATAGAACACTGTCCGTCGTGGTCGTCCAAGCGATCGCAAAAGTACCTAATGTACACTTGCTAGCGGTGAAAAGGGTAAAATTATACAAGAAAGAAGATGGGAATACAAAAAGAGCGAGAGGATTTAGAAAAAACAACTTTAGAAAATGGAAAGGGAAATGGGCAAAGGAAAGGTGTACAGAAAAGAAAAGCCCATGGATAAAATCGATAAACTGAAGAGGTCGGTGGAAATTAAACATCGAGTAACGGTATATTA